GACTTCAAGATAGATTGGAATCTACAAAAGTGTGCAATAGATTATTGAGAGTAGTGTAGGTGTATCACTTGGTGAGAAATTTAGGGTTTGGGATTTTTAGTACCTTGTGGATGGAAGCAAGATGGAGGGCACAGGGTGTTGTCCTGGGTTTCTTCTTCAGGCCTCTTCTCCCTTCTTCTCCATGGGTTTGGGTGGCATTTTGTAATTGGGCAGAAAAATCTGCATTGCAGCTCTGTGGGATCAGTTATTGGGTTCCAAGGGAAAATAATCCAGGTGTCAGTTCTGAATTGGATAGTTTAGTCTCAAAAGACCTTGCAACAAGAGATTGTTGGCCATTTTGTGCCTTCTAATGAAAAGCTGCCAAACTCACAGTAGTGAGACTGTTTTACTGATAAGAAATAATCAACACTTGAGTCCAAACACAAATTACTGTCTCAAGTGCCTTCCATCCAGACCCAGAGAAACCAACAACTGGGACCTCCACAGATGTGGATGTGGAGCAGTGTAAGGAAATGATCCCTGCTGTGCATATGTACAGTATAATGAAAAAACAATCTTGTGGTAGAGGCAAGCCAGCTCACCTATCAGTGCAGACACTCCCAGCACACCCCCTGGCCAAAGTGATTTTCTTCCCCTGGCTTGGAAACAACCCCAGCCACCTCAGAGCCAGGGCCTTCCCAGGGCACACAGAGATTACAGTCACGTAGGGCTTTGTGTGAAATGAAGTTCCTAAACAGAAACAGAGCAGAGTTGCCTCTGCTGGCTCTGAAAGTGGCAGGTCTCATTTAGCACAGCTTGTTACTCCCATCCCATCCTCCTATGGAACAGTAACTCACCCCCACGGGACAGTAACTTACACTGGGAGTGGGAGTGCTTGGTGCAAATCAAGTTCTCTTTTTTTGCTTTTGAGCTAGATCCCTACCCACTGATGGCTGCACCTTGTACTGAATCCTGCTCTGTGTCTGAGAAGATCCCATCACTGAGGAGAAGATGGAAGGCTCCCCTCTCAAAATGGGTTGAGCAAACTTGTGATGTATTCCAACGTTTGCCTCTTAAAACAGCTGACAATCTACTACTTGTAAATCCAGCAGGAAAAGCATTTCAGAGAGGATTAGTGTATTCACAAATTCATGTGGGGAATCTGCAACTGAAACTGAAGGCAATCCTTTTTGTATATGGAAATTGTTATTTCTGATATTTTTAATGATTAATTTACAGAAAAGACAATCTTTGAGGGGGAACAATATGGGTTTTTCTTCACTTTTTTTTTTTTCAGAATGAACTTTGTTATTTAAAAAAGCTTCCTCAATTTCAATAGGTTTTTATCACTACAGAGAAACAAATATTTTTACCAAGTATAACACAGGTCAACCCAAAGTGCTCAGTTTTGCTTTTTCAGTTTTGATAAAAAACCTGGAAGATTTCTGGTTTTTTTGGCCTCAACTTATACTCTGAATATTTTTGATGTATCCAGTGAATCAAAAAAGAAACAAAATTTCACCGTGACTGTTCAGTCTTCCTGATTTTAAGCATGATCCTTTACTCATGTGTGCTCTTCTGTTTCAGATGAAGGTAATTATTCAAGTTTTTGCTGCCTAGCTGTCATCTTCTACAGCACAAATAAACAGCACAAGGCTACACCAAGGAGCACTGCAGTGTACAGCAGATCCCATTAAAATTAAGTCGGTGTAAAGACCCTGCTGGTGGATTTGTGCTGTCCCCACAGCCACCCTCAAGCCTGCACGAGGGCAGAGGTGACAAAGGGGCTTTTCAAGTGCAAAACAATTGGGTTTGACAAGCAAAAAGTGAATGTCTGCCACGTTCCCAACATGCAAACAGAGCAGCTAGTGTGGAAGCAAAGTGGATTCAGCTTTAGCAATCTGCTTATTGCTGAGCATGACTGAGCTGCTAACACTTTACAGAGTGTGAATCTGGCCCTGCAGACACATCTCTCCACAGGACAGGTGAGGAAGGGGCTGCAGGGGCTGCACTGCCAGCTGTGGCAGGGCTCTATGCTGTGCCAGTCCAGGAGGAATGGATTCATGCAGTCAGGCAAGGGTTTGCAAACCAGAGAGAAGAGACAAGAGCCAGAGATCAGAAAAGCTTAGAACCCTGCTGAGGCCATGTGTTTAGATGGGCCTTCCTGAGCAAACATAAGAAAAAAGTGGAAATAATCAAGTCTATTTTGGACCTAAAGGCAGCAGACAAAAAGAGCTGAGTTCATTGAGAAGATTCCTCACGAAAAAACCCCTTCAAGTAGCATAGAAAAAACAAGAGTTGTCACTGTAAGCACATATTTCTGTGCAACTGAGACCTGAACAGAAAACTAGAGTTTGGGTCTTTGAGCAAAAAAACCCCCCAAATTTAAGCATACAGTACTCTGCCAACTGCATGAGCAACCCTAAGGGATGTTTGAGTAGGACAAACATTACTTTTTCCACAAAAACACATTTAAATTCTCTTAAACTTGATGACTCAGTTAGAGGACACAATTCTGTGCCATGAGCCTTCCTATGTCCATATGGAAACCTCCTCTACAGAAAGACATCCTGTGTGTTGATGGCTCCTCAGCATTTCTCCTTTCTTTAGGTATCCTCTCAATTCCCTATGACTCAGCCTGGATCTTACTTCCCTGGGAGAGAGGGCAAATTTTCAAAGTCCTTAATATTTACAGCTCATTCAACCCTCCTCCTCCTCCTCTCCCTTTCATGTTCCACATTAGTGTTACAGACTGTCTAGAAAATAGGCAAAATCCTCAAAGCCAGTGCTGGAGGCACTGTCCCATATCCACTCCCAAACCCGAGCTGGGAGGAGGGGGTTGAGCTGTGCCCTCTGCCTGCATTCCCATGCAGGAGTGCCCAGAGAGGTGCCAGCAGCCAGGGCACCCCCACCCCAGCAAGGAGCAGAAGGTTCGGGCATAAAACATCAGCACCAGCAGCTGCACAAGGTGTGGACCCCCTCCTTGAAGTGAACAATTGCAGCTCCACATCTGCTCCTGGAAACAGCCTGATCCTGTTTGTGGCTTTGTCAGTTTTCTCTTTTCCTGCTGCATGAGGCAATGACAGCAGGAGCAGCCACCCTCACATATCCTCCTGTGAGGCCCCTCTGAGACAAACCCAACCCGTTTCCACAAGGCAGCAGCGAGCTGGCGACACAAACCAGGGGACAAGGCTGGGTGTCTCCCTGCCCAGGGAGCCCACCCACAGAGAGTCTGAGCTAGCTCCAGTAGCTGCTCTCAGCTACTGCTATTAGGCAGTGAAGGAGAACAAGACAAACACATTCCCTCAAGCTCTTCCTGTTTGCTTCCACTCTTTACCTGCCTATCACCACTTTCCCTGTCTGGGCTGTGATGTCAGGGAGCACAAAGTCTGTTTCTCTGAGGCACCACAGCGATGGCCAGGATGGAAAAGGGGGAAAGTTCTCCCAGCTGTGCATGTGTGTAAAACTTACACCTCTGTGCAGTTCTTGGAGTGGAGTTACAACAGCCCAAAGGCTGCTCTGGTTTACACCAGGAATTCACTAACAATAGCCCTGAGGAGCTGTGCTCGTACCATTAAATTCCTTCCATCCATCCATCCATCCATGCCCCCATTACAATGCCAAATGAAAAACTGATATAAGAGCACCAGTGCCAGGTCTCTTATCAAGCCTTGGTGCTGGAGGAGCTGAGATTTAGCACAGAAAGATTTGGCTTTGTTGGGTGGAAAACCAACGAGTCCCAACCTCTCAGCTGCAGTCAGGGCCACTGGGAAAAGTGACTCTGTTGGTCTAGTTTAGGTATCTGCTTTGGGGCAAGAAAAGTCACATCCAAGAAATGGTTGCTTCTCTCTTTCCTATACTAGCTCCTCTACAAACTTTTCTCTGGAGCTGATAGCAATTTATTTACTAGACATCAATGCATTAATAAGAGAATATCATCAGTCTCATTAATTCATTTACAGACATGCACATCACTGACATACGGACATTTTGCAGGATTTTACTAGTCAATTCACAGATTTAGACTTGCTCTTCTGTTGTTGGTGAATTTCCTTTTATCTTAATGAATCAAGTATGTCCTAAAACTCATGATTGTTTTTCTTCTGTACCCATAACACACAACCTCTCATTTCCTAGTAAATTCAATTTATGAACGGAAAATATGCAGGCCACAACTTCTTAGAGTGTGCTAAAAAAAAATGCTGTTTTCAGGCACAACTATTACATAAAAAAAAAAAAAGAAAAAAAAGCCACAGGACCAATATAAAAGTGTATTTGCTTGGGAGCACAGAGTACACAGCTGAGTGTTGCAACACAACCATCCTGAACCGCAAGGATTTCGTGCTTTTCAAACAACATTCATGACATCTGGGAAATATTTCTGCAAGAATAAATAAGCACACAATGTCCTGAAAGGTAAATGGCTCCTTGTTTCCCCCAAAATTTTCCAAATCACTCAGCCTAAGTTACTGAGTCCCTTTGCTGTGAAAAAAATTGCTGTCATTTTTATGCTGTTCTGTAGGCACCCTCTACCCACTCTGTAGAAGTACTGCAGGTAGGAGATGGTAAAATCTTTTATATCAGATTTTTTGGGTGGGCAAGAGCTAAAAGCTGCCCCCAGCAGAAACACCTCATGCAATGTGCATTGTGAGTCACATGGCTCACATGCAAATTATATTTGCCTTACAAGTTGTAAGGCAAATTATTTGGTTATAAGTCAATCTTAGGTCACAGCCCAACTCACTCTTACCTTTTACTAAGCAGTTATGATTAAATATTTCCCCTTTAAGTGGAAAAAATTCATTTATCCCACCCTCATGTGGGGTAGCGGTTTTAATTTACTACTTTAATTTTTAAGCTACTTCTGCCCCAAGACTTAAAGGGATTTTAAGCCCAGAAAAGAAACAGAGGCTGCTTTCCCCTGCAATAGCAATGAAATAGAATCACAAACACAACCTCCAAGACCCTGAGAAAGTGTGGCTGCAATACAAAATTGTAAAGACCTGAAGGAAAATATTTACCTCAAATGTGCGCAGGACTTTAGCTAATGCCCCGACTTCTTCTTTCAGAGAGAAAATCAAAGAAATCACACCATTTTTACTGGGGGAGTCTTCAATGTAGCTAGATTCCTGAAAGGAAAGAAAAAAATAAACAAAAATCACTACCATTCACCCTAGGAGTCAGTTTTGCCTTTCTCCATGTCCCTTTTGCACAGCAGCGATGTAAAGAAGGTATAAAACAGCTCTGGGGCTGCTCTGATTTATGATGGTAGAGATGCAAATCCCTTCTCTCCAACTAGAGCCCTGGTGAGAGTAAGGTAGTCAAAAAGGACATGTAAATAAACCTAATATCATCCTTGTCTCCCCTCAGGGATGACTGGAAACATTTCTGCACTTTGGTTTCAGCTCCAGTGCAGCAAAGTCTTTCCCTCAGGCTTCCTTTTCCTCAGCACTCAGGGTTAAGCAGAGAAATGTGGATGAGCTCTGTGCAGAGATGCAGACCATGGTCTGTGTTTCCCTTCAGTTCTGCTTGTACCTTCCAGGTATCCCCAGGAGAGAGGTAGTATCCACAGGAAGGATATGGAAGGTGATTTTGAAACAAAATAACCACATCAATCAAATAAAAGAAAAATAAAAAAGAAAAATGTTGGAGCAAACATCTAGATCTTCCCTAAATCCCAAAATGAGTAAAGACTCGGGGCAAGATGTGTTTTCATTTATGTTTGTTCCCTTTCTCTCATTGATTTTCTGCTCTGCAAATTCCAAAAGGCAATTTTCCATACTCTCAAAAGGTTTATTTTCATTATTTTCACAGTTCTCATGACTAGAATGTCTTTGCATGTCTCTACACGTGTTTCTTTTCACAAAAGCCCTGTTAAGAAGGGAAGAGCTATTTCACCACTTCTGAAAGAGGAAACTGAGCCCTGGAGTGGAGGCAGGTCTTGAAAGCTGGGTACTTGGCATGGCAGGTAAATGCCTGCTGACATTTCAATCACCCAATTTTTCTGATATCAGAGTAAACTTCATGTACAACCATCACAAACTTTTGGAGACCACATTAATATCTTATTTGCAGGTTTATTTCATTTTTTTTTAACATCTACTGGACTTGGACAAATTGTCTGAGGTCGTTATTTCGAAGATCACACCACACATCTGCAACACAGAGGGCTAAAGACCTGGGCTAAAGCTTGATTCAAGGTACCCATTCAAATATTCCTTATAAAGATCTGTCTTTTTGGGCAGAGCTTGCTCTTATTATGGTTATTGCTCAATTGAACATATAAATCAGAGTAAAAAGAGTCCCAGTTCCCAAATATTGTCCTCAGCAAAGATAGCCTTTGTAGAAGACAAATTAGCAATCAAAGCCAGCTGCCCTGAAGCCATGAAGCTCTTGGTGGGCCTACATTTCCTGAGGCAGAGCTATGAAGAGCTGCCTTCTTTTGTAAAGTAAATAATTGCTGATTCTCCAAGGCTGCCTCCAAGGTTGCAGCTAACAGACTGGCCACACATTTTTCTATCTGGCTTTGTTTCCAGAGCCTGCAAAGGTTTTCCAAATGTCTTTCAGCCTTATGAGGGACCTCTAGTGCGAACTGTAGTAGAAGTGCTGCACCAGAAGGAAGATTGCCACCTGTTTAGCTGTGACACTTCCTGCAGCATCTCTGTGTCTCCTGAGTCCCCATGCAGGAGCCAGCCCAGCTCCTACATGGGGAGCACCAAGAGGAACAGCAGCTGGAAGTGATGTGTCAGCTGGCTAATGAAACCCATTTACACCTCCAGCAACCACAGGGGAAAACAATGACAGGAGTCTGGCAAAAGCCAAAACAAATGTCTGTAGTACTGAAATTTTATGGCAGTGTGACCAAAACTGTCATCTCAAATACTGCCCATACTTTGCTTTTTCCTTCTGTTCTCACCCACCACAGCCAAAACTGATCTCAAGGACAGAACTGGCTCCACCATTGTCTGTCCAGTGGGTCGATATGTTGGTTTTCACTGTCTGCAATGAAACTGCTCTAAAAGACAACAGTTATATATTTAAAATATTTTTGCCAAGTCATGCTGTGAGAACCAACTTATATGACAGATTGACTTGAATGTGTGTGACAAATAAAGAATTCATGATTTGCATACTTGCAGGGGAGATAATGCAAAGTTGAAGTCCTGCAAGGTAATCCTGATGATAATAATTGATCTCTTTGTACAACGAGATTAGACAAAAAATTCTTAAAAAAATCTTTTCAAACTCATTGGTCACTAGCTTTGATTTAAGATCAGCTGCTTTCAATGTGTCCTCAGTAATTTTCCCACTCTTGTAAGTTGATTTATATTGCAGTAGGGAGTAGGCACTAATGCTCTAAAGAGCCTCATACTTGCTTAACTTCTTGCACATCTGCATTTGCACTCAGCTCCCTGGAAGGTCTTTTGACAAGGATCAGCCCATGCCTGAACCTGTCACAGAGGTGACACCTTTAATTGCAAAGGGGGAGAAGACTAAAATGATTGTTTCCCTGGTACTCAGCTCTTATCAGGGTATATGGAGCCTGTATCAATACATACGGTAGATAATAAACCTCAACATGTGCACTGGAGGTGATAGCAGCAAAAACAGAGGCACTCACATTATTGTTGAGATTTTTGTAGTACTTATGCATAGCTTTACCTGTTGATCAGTTTTTCCATTCTCATTTTGGACTTTAACTACTTGTCCCTCAACATACATGGAGGAATTGAAGCTTTGGGGTAGTCCTACAGTTTTGTTACTATTGTGATTATGATTCAGACTCAAAGAAACAATTTTATTGTGTTGCAATATTGTCTCTGTGATATGTATATGTGATTTATAATGTGCATAAATTCGGCTCTAATTTTCTTCCAGCTCTGTTTTTTTTTTCTAGGAAATAACATGAGAACCAGTTGAAGAGCATGAACAACCATCCCTGGACTTGAGACAATCACAAACCTGCATTTTTAGTTAGCCACATTGCACAGATTGGTATTGCCATTCTGACACAGGTGGCAGCATTAGGGGTCAATAACCCAATCCTATCTAATGCATCTTGCCTTCTAATCCCTTGCTGAGACATTTAGCTAAAGCCCTTCAGAGTGAATTCCAACACTGGTAGAGACAGAGAAAGTTTTTCTTGCAATTTCAGGGATATAAAACTTTCACCTCACTGCTGTAAAGTTCAAATTTACTAGATATGCAAAACGGAGGGGGGAGGGGAGGAAGGAAAAATATTTCAAATTAAAAGATTTCCAAGTTACTTGTGAAAATGGAATTAGTTTCCAAGTCAAATTTCTTAAGGCATTTAAATGCTCCTCATGGCACTCATCATTGGAACCAAGCAATTACACAACTTGGATAAGCAGCAAGGTGAGACTCTAGAGAAATACTGTGGGAGTTCAGCCTCAGCACACAAAGAAGTAGGAATAGAGGCTTCCTTGGCATCTCTGCTCTTAAAAGAAATAGAAGCCCTTTTTTGCACATCTGATGCAGCTTGTCTCAGGCTTCAGCAGCATTGCATAGGACAGATAAGTGCAGAATTTTGTCCTAATAATTAACCATGCTGGCCTCGGGTTACATCACTTGCCCCTGCAGTAACATCAGTGCCTGTATTGAAAAGGCATGAACTTCAGGTCCTTCCTGTATTTCCCAAAGCAAAGAGTTCAAAGTCAGTCAGTAAGTAAACATTAAAAAAGAAGACAAGATAGCCCCAAATTTAACAAAAAGTTACACCAGAAGAGCACATAATTTCATCTGTTTTCCTTTAACCAAAGAAGACAGCTTTTTTCATCACACACATTTAAGACCTCCAATAAGCTTCTGGTCTTTTCTGATTCTTTGTCTTTTTGCCATGTACACAATGATACTGTTGCAATGTTTGTTTGTATTCTCACTGCGTTTTTGTGAGCACAATTAACAGCAGACAAATACAGAGCTGCCAAAATTGCTCAGGTACTGCAAAGCATCAGGACAGGCCACCTTGATTCTTCTCCTCTGGGGTCACACTGCCTCTCAGAGAGGGAAGGACAAGCATAGGAGTGCAGGAGTGAGGCAGGACACCCCTCACCTCTGCAAAAAGCAGGCACAGACCCCCACCACTTACCTGGAAAGCGTCACCATTCATTTTGCAGTGCTGCGAGTCCATGTTGCAAAGGCAGCAATGCCCACACAGGGAGGCCCCTCCACTAGAGCAGGTGAAACCTTCTGACTCAGTGCAGTGGGCAGAGATGTGTGCAAAGGTATTTAAAGAGGAGCAGGCAAGGCAAAGCCATTCCCTTCCCCAGCTCCCTCCCCTGCACAGCGTGCCAAGGGGGCGTTCTCCCTGCACGCCCACCCCACCCACCGCTGGCACACCGAGCAGCCGCTGCCGCTCTCCAGCAGATTGCTTCTGGCTGCACCCAACGTGGAGCAGCAGCATGCTCTGAATTAGCAGCCTTCCTCCTCCTGATCAACATCAGCTGTTTTCATTTTTTTTCAAGTCAACACATGGTTTTCAGCTCAGCCTCCAGCCCGTTCCTTCCCACTGCAGCTGCGTGTTCAGCCTCAGGTGGGTTTCACCTCGGGGTCACTCCCCTTGGACAGATATCAGACATTCTCCAGGATTGCTCTTTGGATGGCAAACATCAGGCACAGAAGGCTCTGGACAGATATCAGACCTTCTCCATGATGTGTTCTTGGGATATCAAACGTCAGGCACGGAAGGCTCTGGCAAGGCACAGCAGCTGAGGGATTTATCCTTTAGTAGGACCTCTGGGGCTGCTTCCAAAGATCTCAGAGAGCAGGAGACACCACTCCGCTCACCAGAAACCAGAGAGAGACATCCAGTCCAGGGGAAACATGAGACAGGAGTTAGCAGCATGAACCTCACACTGGGATATGAGCCTGAGCATGGGGAAAGAGAGGAAGGTAAAGGAAGAAAAAGAGCAGGAAACAGTAGGTCAGAGCTCCAGGGCAGGAAGATGTAGAAAACTACACGTGATGTACGTGTGCTTGTATGTGGTGTCAGCCATGGAAAGCACAAGGGGAACAGGGTGGGACACATAAATCAGGAAAGGTTAGTAAAGTACTGATATGAAAAAGCCCAGGTTTGGCTTAATAAGAGTCACCAAAGGGGGTAAAGGAGATTGGAAATCTGTATCCCAATATCAGAGGGCAGGTGAAAAAATGGAGCTTGACAGATAGATAGCTTGAAGTATCTATCTTGCTATTTGGGAAAATGAAGTCTTAGAAACTGTGCCAAGGCAGGTAATCTTGCTATATTTTCATGATGAAGAAAAATTCTCTTTACAGTTATTTTCTCCTTGAAGGAAGCTCTACTACCCACACCTGTGCAAACTCATATTGATGAACATTAGAAAAGACTTACTGTAAATTTTCATACCTACAAAACCCAGCAGCCTTACAGCGGGGAAACTGAGTGGAACCATTTCATAGTTCTTACTGTGGAGTCAGAGTCCATCCCACTGAAAATATCAATTATATAACATGCATTCTGAAGTGACTCTGTGCTTTGGGTGCAAATACATACATACCTTTTTCAGAAGAGCTGCTTCTTTGTGCATTCTGAAACTGCCTGTAGGGTAGGAAGTTATTTCTGATGTGATCAGCAAGCCTGTGGTATGGGCTGGCAGGTCAAGATCACCAAATGTGATGCACACTACACACACTGGATCCTGCTCACGTCGCAGGAGGATGGGGCAAGGAAAGGCAGAGCAGTAGGGGAAAGTATCCCTAATAATCGCCAGCAGTAGAAAAACTACTGTGTTTTAGCTACTCAGCCAGTAAATTCATTATGGCAGCCAGTATTTTGTAGCCTGTGTTTGTGCAGCACGAGGCATAGCCCTATCATGATAGGGAGACTGAAGACCACCTTGGAAAAAAATAACAGTGAGATGAAGATGGTGACAACTCTGATTATAGCCCCTGTGCAGGACAAGACAGACTCCAGAAACTAGTCTTGTTTACCTTCCCCACACACCATGCCTTGCCACCTGGTAATTTTCAGTGCGATAAACTATTCTTTCCTCTGTTTGTGCCTTCCTCTTTCTTTCCTAACTCTTTCTCTTTTCTATAATCTTTAATCTCTCTTTTACTTTATGGTTTTTACATGGTTTTGGTCTCCGTTCATTCCCTTTCTCCATCCCTTTTCTTGCATGTGTCCACTCTACTCAATGGTAATGGCAAGACAAAGTGAAATATCAAATACCTAAAACACTGCTCATGACAAATCTTTGTAATCATCTGTTTTGCCTCCTAGCCCACGATTTTTTGTATTTATTTTGCAAGATTATCTCTCACCCTTGTTGTTATACAATTATAATAATATCACCAGTGTATTGCCACCAGTTTGGTCACTGCACTGTCAGAGGTTGCCTGGTGGCAGAAGGCACTGATTGAAGAAAACAAAGTTCCATCTTGCTAGGAGGAATTCCCAGTGTCTCCTGTTTTGGAGCAAAGTGGTGTGTGGGGCTGTGTGAGCATGTGTATGCCCAGTGACATTCCCCTTAGGAATATGCAGTTGCATCAGCATCGGTTACCTTGGGCCATTTCAGAGTTCAAACTGCTGGAGCTTCCCTGTACTCTTTGAAGTACAACTTCAGCATACCAAGCACGGATTCTTCCCCCTGCAGTGACACTGCCAGCCAGGTTTTCCCACTTGGGTTTCAAGCTTCCTCGTGGGCCTGATTCCCTGGCTGGTGTGAGCAGCTGGGCTTTAAGTCTCTTAGTTCTGCTCTGGGATTTTGCTGCAGCACAGAGCATTCCCCTCTTCTTTCAACAATATGCACTGATGTCCAACCTTGCTTTTGCCTAAAACACGTGTTCTCCCTGCAAAACACACTTTCTTTGAGTACACACACACACACATGCACACACCACATGCAGTCCTTTTGGGCTGTGCTCTCAGCCACAGCTCACAGGGCTCTTTGCCCTGAAGTTGGCAAGCTCCCCTGGCCGGCACGATGCGAGTTCAAGGGGCCACGGACTTGGGCTGCTTTTCAGGCTGCTCTTTGCTACCCATTTGCACAGTGGCGGCTTCCCTGGAGCTCTGAGTCTTTGTGTCTGGGCAAGGATGTCCTTTCCTGTGCCAGGACACTGGGCCCACCCTTGGCCTGCAGCTCCCTGTTTCCCTGCTGGTTCAGGAGGTCCCAGTGAGTGTGAGAGTGCAGTAAGCAGTGGAATGGGGAATTTTCTAAGTTGGTGGAAGAAATTCCCAGATGAGTATTCCACAAGTATCTTAGGTACTTGGTGTGTGTGTGCATGGGAGGGGGGCATCCCCCTTATCAACACTGTGTATGCATTTACCAGAGATCTCAGGATGCTGTAGCTCTCCCTTACACCCCGTAAAGACAGCATTTTCCCGCACGTCCCTCTGCACCGTGCTGGCAAATCCACCCAGCACTGCAGAACCGGGCTCCCCGAGACCTCAAGGCTGCGCCCGATCCCACTCCACCCGGATTTCCCCGGTTCCTTCCCTCTGGGGCGCGGGTGGCCGGGAGGTGGCACTGTGTCCTCACGGCAGAGGGGACCCGGGACCCCCGGCTGTCCCCACAGCCTGCCCTCCTCGGGAATAGCGGGGGATCCGCTTCGCAGCCTGCGCAGGCATCACCACCCAAACCCTCTGCTACCCCTCCTGCAGGGGACCACCGCTTCGGAGGAGCCGGCAACAACCCACCCACTCCCCACCCAAAATACTCAGCTGTCCAAAAAGTGGCGCTGGGGTATGCGGGAGGGCAGCCCGGTGTGATTTATCCCCCGGGGCTCTGACAGGCGCGCAGCTCGTGGCCGCACAATGGGGCCACCCGGCAGAGCCGGCAGCCAAGGGCTCCGCTCCGCGGGCGCGGAGGGCAGGGGGGCAGCGGGCGGCACCCGCGGGGGCGGCGAGCGGGACGGGGCCGCGGGGGAAAGATGCTTCGGCGGCTGGTTTGGGGTCTTGTTTGTTTGTGGCTTTTTTTTCCTGTTTTTTTATGTTTTGTTGGGGTTTTTGGGGTTTTTTCCCCTGTGTGTTGTTTTTTTTTTTTTTTTTCTTTTTTGCAGCCCTATATGCAAACTGTCACTTCAGGTTAGCACAAGACCTGATGTAGCTCATTAGCATGAGCTGTATCTAATACGCTTAAAACCTCTAATTATTTATTATGCCCTCATTGGCAGCCCAAGAAATGTCTGGAAAGTGATGAGTGTTCATCCCAAGACGCCTTTCGAGGTGGATTCGGCAGTGTCCCCTGGTCAAACGTCATTTTTAATTCTTCATTGAGGCAGAGGCTTTATTCCTCTTGTAGCGATACAACACAAAGAAAACTCAAACTTACTATGCCAATAACCCACCTACTCCACCCTGGGCAGGATGGTCAACAATTAATTAAGAATAAGGTTTCATGGTTAAGTTCTCATTTCCATACAGGGATGCTTAGGAAGAGGCATTGAACTTTATCAACTATGCAAAAGTGCAAACACACCGTCCTTAAAAATTACTTACCCGAGGGACCATCTTGCCTTTTCAGGGAAAAATCTCTTTCCTGACTTCTGAAAGTAGCAAATGTTGAAAATTATATTCACATGGAAACTGTTTCAAAATAAGTTTAACTCTCTGGGGTTGACCCCCCCAAACACCACTCAAAGTGCCTTTTTTTTTCTCCCTTCCAAGTCTGTATTATGTTTCTTCAGGCCGCACCAACTATTTATTTATCTTTATTCTTTCCCTCTTTCTTTTCATTCATTATTCTCTCTCCCTCTCTTTTCTTCCCCCTTTCCTTGTGTGTGTGGCTTCTCGGTCTGATCTGTAGCTTGTTACCACCCACTGCACGCTCTCTCCTGCAGCCGAGGTGTTTCTATACAAACTTCAGCGTCCAGTTGTCATATTAATTATTACACTGAGTAATGACTGAAATAGTCAAAATAAGGGGAGACTCAAGAGAGCTTTTTCTTGCTGCTCAAAGATTCAGCAAAGAAGCCTTGCAACAAAGCACTAATTGGTCCCCAGAAATACTCTGACAAGGCATGGAAGATAGGTTTCATAAAGCCCAGCAATTGTGAAGGGGGGAAAGATCCTTGAATAGACCCCACGCTTCTTTTCTAAACTCTCTTGCTGAGCAAAAAATGGACTGCTTCTTGAATACTGGACTGATCTTGAATGCTATACCCAGCAGA